TGTTAGGTCTGCTCATGTTCCTTCTATTTTTGTTGTACATAATGATTCCACTTTGCATGTTGTTTCTACTTTTGATGCAACTACCTCTACCTCTACTCAATCCATCTCTAGTCCAAATGACTCTATCTCTAATCCTGTTGTCTTGGCTGCACCTATCTTATCCAATATGCTTGCTCCTGAGAGTGATGATCCCCCTCTGGAAGTTCCGCCAAAAAATCGCAACCTTCTCAACCGATTTCTTGAAGTCTTGGCCGAACCGCATGGGGTTCCCGTGCGTTCGGTTCGACACAAGATCGAGTTGATTGAAGGTAGCACTCCTCCAAAAGGTTGTGTCTACCGAATGGGCTCATGCGAATTGGAAGAGTTGCGACGACAGATTGATGATATGATTGGGAAGGGATGGATCAAACCAAGTGAGTTTGAGTTTGGTGCACCAGTTCTGTTTGTCCCTAAGAAAGGAGGCAAACTACGGATGTGTATTGACTATCGCGGATTGAATAGGATCATAAGAAAGAATGCATATCCTTTGCCACATATTGATGATTTGCTTGATGCTGCAGGTGGATGCAAAGTCTTCAGCAAGATCGATCTCAAGTCTGGCTACCACCAGATTGAAGTCGATCTTGCAGACCAGCATAAAACTGCATTCAAAACTCGCGATGGGCTATACCAGTTTACAGTCATGCCCTTCGGTCTCACAAATGCGCCAGCCACCTTTCAAAGTCTCATGGATAAGGTATTTCGCAATCAGATCAACCGATTTGTTTTTGTATATCTGGATGACATACTAATCTTCGGCAAATCGATGGAGGAGCACATGAGACACCTTGAGGAAGTGATGCAGATCCTCAAGGACGCGCAGCTCCATCTCAACTTGGAGAAATCTGAGTTTGGGAGGGACAGCGTCATCTACCTTGGACATCGGTTTGTCTGATGCAGGCCTAGAGCCCAAGGCAACCAAAGTTGAGGTCATCCGAAAATGGCCCCAACCTGCGAATATCCGTGAGTTGCGTTCTTTTCTTGGTCTTGCGTCGTACTACCGTAAGTTTGTGCCCAAATTCTCTATCATCGCCCGTCCGCTGTCTAGACTAACAAGCAAGAATGTGTCCTACACATGGAACGAGGAATGCAGGACAACCTTCGACGCCTTGAAGGAGGCTTTGGTGAGTCATCCGGTGCTTTGCATTGCAGATCCCAAACTCACATTCGTAGGAACTACGGATTCGAGTTTGTATGGGATTGGTGCAGTGCTGCAACAAGATGACGGCGACGGCCTACGTCCTCTAGAATTTTACAGCAAACGTATGCCTAGTCACAAGGTAGCTGCCTCCACGTACATGCGAGAACTCTATGCCTTGAGAGAGTCACTAGATCATTGGAAGCACTACCTCTTGGGTCGCCATTTCAAAGTGTTCTCAGATCACGAGACCTTGAAATGGGTTGAGACACAGAACAATCCCTCAACTACACTGACCCGCTGGCTGCATGAGATTGTTGTGTATGATTTTGAGATTAAACACAAGAAAGTTTGTTATCTTGGGTCGCCATTTCAAAGTGTTCTCAGATCACGAGACCTTGAAATGGGTTCAGACACAGAACAATCCCTCAACTACACTGACCCGCTGGCTACATGAGATTGTTGTGTATGATTTTAAGATTAAACACAAGAAAGTTTGTTATAATCGAGTTGCGGATGCTTTGTCGCGCCACCCTGAGTACATGACTTGCCTTGTGGGTTCCTATGACCTGCGTAAAAATTTGAAGGAGGAACTCATCGAGCATACTGCCAAGGATCCGGAACTCAGTCCCATCCTTGAGTAGATTCGGGCTGACCCTAGCAGTCAGCCTGATTTCCATGAATGTAAGGGCCTTCTCTTCCGACGTTACGGGAAGCATGACCGATTGTGTGTCCCCAACCATGAGCCGATCATGACTCACCTCTTGGATTTGGCTCATGGCCGGAGTGGACACTTCGGTGTGGAAAAGACATACGGGAATCTGTTGGAAAAGTTTGTGTGGCCTGGAATGAAAAGAATGACGCAAAGGTTTGTGGCTGAGTGTGAAGTTTGTCAACGCATCAAACCGTCTCGACAGAAGCCCTATGGGCTGCTGCACCCTCTTCCTATCCCTGATGGCCCGGGTGAGTCTGTTTCCATTGACTTCACGGAAATGGGGAAGAAGAGCAGAAACGGTTATTCGCAAGTAGTGGTGATCGCCGATCGTTTTTCCAAATTTTTGAACTTAATCCCATTACCACCTCACGCCCCAACTGACCTTGTGATTGAAGAATTTAACAAAAGGTACATTCTTCAGTGCGGTCCCCCGAAGACTCTTGTGAGTGATCGGGATACCAGGTTCATAAGTGCAGATTGGAAAGACTTCACCGACCAGACCTATGACATGAAACTCAAGATGACGTTTGGCCGACACCCCGAAGCCAATGGACTGGCCGAGGAGATCAACCAGACCGTAATCCAACTTCTCAGGGCTCTTATTGTGCCTGACCAGAACTCTTGGGATGAGGAGTTGCCGATTGTGCAGGGGTTTTACAACAACTCCATACACTCCTCCACCGGGATGACGCCTAATCGGCTGCATCTTGGATGGAAAATCCGCAATCCTCTATCTTATCTGTTCCCGGAACAGCCACCTGGCCTAACACCTGGCCAGCCAGGCTACAGCGCTAAGTATGATCGTTTGCTCAAAGTTGCTGTCCAGCTATGGAAAGGCGACGCAGTGCCATGATTAAGCATGCAAACAAAAAGCGCCAGCCTGATCCTTTCACAGTGGGAAGTTATGTCTGGGTCAAGATGTCTGAGTTTTCTGAAGAAGAAGGCGTATCACGGAAACTTCTTCCTCAGTACTACGGTCCCTGGAAGGTGCTGAATCGAGTAGGTAATGATTCCTTCGGTCCTTCTTACACGATTGATGTGCCCGCTCATCTGCGGACATACCCAATCTTTCACGCATCAAAGCTATTTCCATATGAGCCACCTGTGACGTTCAAGTACCGAGAATCGATGATTCCCCGCGCAATCAATGGCGGTCACGAGATTGATAGGATTGTCGAGCACAGTGGGAAGGGAAGAAACAGACAGTACAAAGTCCATTTTCTGTACCACCCGTTGGATAATTTCTACTGGATTGCTAAGAAGGACTTACTGCAGAGTGCACCGCGCGTCGTTAACGCCTATGAACGATTGATAAGTTATGAACAGCAACCAAAATTCGCTGCTACCGTGACTCCTACGGAACACACCCGATCTCTCTTTGCTATCTATGCCTACGATGCATTGTGCACGGACTCTGATTGAGTTACTCGCTCGAAGGGACCTCGCTCTTGAGGGGGGGGGAGTGTAATGACCGGTCAAAATACAGACTGAGAACACTGCTGATTTCTGAAGTTCTGCCGATGGAATGGATGCCTTGCTGAGATTCCCGCATTCTGCTGTGTTTTCCAAGTCTGTCTGTGTGTGCGTGCTTGTGACCTGCGTGCCTGTCTGAGTGCTTGTCGGTATGAGTGTGCGTGTGACCCGCAAGGGTACTTGCTTGTTTGGCAGGCCCGTAGGGCCAGTACTTACCTGTGGCCGTGGCATTGAGGGTTGTAGCAGGGAAAACACTCAAGTGACAAAGCTAGCGGCCCCGCGGCCCTTGGGGTAAGCGGAAAAACACTCAAGTAGGCCGGTAGGCCGATACTGCACCCCACTGCAGTTGGCGTGAGGGGGGTACTGGAGGCCGAGCAGAAAAAGACAAAGTTGGCATTTTTAGAGTCCAGTAGCGGTAGGGTAGGTCTAGGCCGGTACCAGTCCAACCAGTCTGAGTCTAGAGCCTGTACGGGTAATATCAGGGTCTGCAATGATGTTTCCCTCCGAAACGGAGGAAGTACCGGTTGCTTGGAGAGGCCGAGCGGCCTGGAAGTCACCGCCCAGGAGGCAAGTAGGCCGCTATATCAAGAGGCAGGGCGGAGAGCCCAGCCTCATTCTTTAGTGTGCGAGTTGGGCGTCACGCTGCTGGAGCGTTGGTTGGAGGAGCGCTGGCTCTTACAGCGCTGCTAGGAGGAAGAAGCCGGGAGCTTCCACCTTGGCTATGGTGGAGCTCTACCGGTAGGAGAAGGAGGGAGAAGGGGACCAAGGAGGAGAGTGGCGAGGCACTTACTGGCTATGGTAGACACCATCTTCATCTCCTTGCTAGGCGTTGCATCAAGAAGGCCCCAGTGGGGGTAGTGCCGCATCAAGGAAGCTCGGGACAGAGTCAGGCATGGTGGCCGAGTGGGCAGCGGCATAGCTGCATGGTGATGACCTTGAAGTGGGGCAGCGGCATATCTGCTTTGAGTTGTCCTTTGGACAGGAGGCTGAAGCCTCAGTAGCCAACCATAGCCTCGGCCTGTATGTAGAGGAAGAGGAAGGGTTGCCATGGCTATGGTGGACCTCATGTTGTGCCTGCAGTAGAAGTGGGATTCGGACATTGATTCTGGTTCAGTCATTCAACATTATTATTGTTATTTCTTGTTTGAATAAGAGAGGAGGAGATAAGGAGGAAGGGATTGRTTGGCGAAGAAGAAGAGCCTTGACATTGGTCTATGCTGGAGTACATCATCATCCTCTTCTTTCTCACTTCTTCTTCTTCTTCTTTCCCTCTCTTTCCTCTCAAGTTCTTTCATTTCTTTTTGCAATTGGATGGCATTGTACTTTCAGATGAATGTATACTTCGAAATTGGCCAGGATCGTAACGATAATGTTTTTTCTTGCCACGGTTATTATACTTTTGTAGGCCAATCTGGCAATAAGCCGCGGCTCGTATGGTCGCCTGCTAGATCGTGGAAGAGTTGTCGCGTTGGCCATGAGGTTAATCCGAATATGGATGGATGATGCAGATCATGCGCTGGTTTGATGGATGATGCACTTTGTTTCATTTCCTCTGATTGATCACCATGTTATTTTCACTTAGCGTGTGGGTGTCTGTCTGTCTTTCTGTCTGTTTGTCTGTCTGATGTGCCCCAGGAACGGTCTGTGTCAACAATTTTGTACTTGCTGTCAATGCAAGACCTCACGACATGCCCTTTCCGAGTTGTGGACGAGATCAATCAAGGTTCGGGCAAACATTCGTCCGCTTTTTTTGAAGTGTTTTCAATCTCCCACTCTCTGTTCAAACCGAACGGGGCGGCTGCTATGGTAGCAGTAGCACTGTTTCTGTCACCCCTGACTTTCTCACTGTTGAGAGGTCCAACGCCTTGAGAACAAAAATGTTTGTTTTTTTTCACTCCGCCGCCCAACCGTTAGCACAAGCCCAAACACATGTACATATGCAGACCGAGCCGGGGAGTGTTTCACTTTATTATGGGCTGTGGAATAGCTCTAGAAGGAAAAACTTACTTCGCGGTGGACAGTGCAAGATCTTTTTGTTGGTTACCACCACCTCTGTGCAAGCTCGACTGCTCTCACGAGCCAAACATCTCATCAACGCGTATATATGCTTGAAGAGGACTGCAGAGCGTTCGGGCTCCATAGCTTTAGAAGAACGAAGTTTGTGTGCTATTGTATGTATGCTCAATTCAAATACATTGGACAGAACGACAGAGTGCTTAGCCTCATCATTACGGGCTTCATAGCTTCATGGTCAAACGCATGTCAGTATACGAACAAAACCATGTTACCGTCTTCACCCGGATAGAACGCCTGGTCATTATCGCTGCATCTGGACCGAAAGTTGTGCTAAACACAGCTATAATGACCGGGCGTTCTATCTATGCGGGTGAAGACGGTAGCCCAACATCTTGCAAGCACATGTCAATATATGAACAAAAATTTCAGTGAATATATGAACAAAATTGCAGTGTGTTTAGCTTGTCTCCCAACATCTCGTCAAACCGTGCTAGCCCAACAAGGCCAAGTTAGCTATTGTTATTTTATTGTTGTTGACTCCCTTGCCCTCTGCAAGCTCGACAGCAAAGTATCATGAGCATAACATTTTGTCAACACGTACATATACTTGAACAGAACCGCAGAGTGTTCAGCCAGCCTTATATAGTTGTGTTTCCCTGCTCTCCGAGCTTGTCGCCTGGGTTCATCTGTCTGTCTCATGTAGAATTGCAGATTCTACTCCATGTATGTAATTTTTATTGCATAGTGAAGTAGTTTGGCTTTGATAGCAACCGGAAGTTTTATTCGTACAATATTCTTGCAGTTATGTAAGCTCATGCAACCTACCACTGTGCTGTAGTGCATATGCTTGTATGAATGATCATGATATTGATATGCTGCGCCATCTCCTTTGTGTGGTTTTGTGTACAGGAATGGATTTCCATAATGAGCGGAAGATGTTCCAGCAGCTTGTGAGATCTTCTAGCAAAGCCAACACTCCCCAGTAAGTGTTTGTTTGAACACCCTTGGACGCAGCGTGGCTGGCGATAGGAGCAGCTTTATTGGCTGACGGATGATAGGAACTCTTTTGGCTGATGTCATGACTTTCATCTGATCCAAATATGTGCTGGAAGGTGGGGGAGGGCGCTGGTGGATATGGGTGGAACGCATGAAAGATAAACACGGTCGTGGTGGAGACGAGGCTGAAAACCCGATTCATTTTTTATCTAAATAGTAAATATGAAACTTGGAAGGAAAAAAGAAAATTGTGTACGAGTAAATGTTGTGGTGGGAAATGTAAACGTGTTCGAGTTCGAGGGGTCAGTTGTACAAACCGAAGATGGCGTAGTTGTGATGGAAACAGGGCTCAAAATCAAAATGCAAGCATTTGGTCGAAGGAGCAACTGGAAGGGAAAAAAAAGGAAGAGTAAAATTGGCGCTTTAAATCTTCACGAACCACTTTCTCTCCCACTTGGTGGCCTCTGCTGACACACAACCGTGCCAAAGTGTTCATCTTTTCGCACCCACGTGTAGAAAGTGTTCAAGGCACAGCAGCTCACCGGTCGTGCAGTTTGGAACTGACGCTGTAGGTATGTCACGGTTGGGTGGACCAGACATCCATCCAACGGCAATGGGCATTTCGGACAGCCTTGGGCCTTTGTGTCATTCTTTACAGACGCAGTGGAGGTTTAATGTGTGTGTGTGTGGGGGGGGGGGGGGGGGGGAGAGGATGTGTGAAGAATCGGTCCAAGAGGGTGGAGCTTATACTGCTGGTGGACAATGGGAGTTTCGATCCTTGCCCCCCTCCTACGCCTTCTATTATTATGTTACGATCCTGGTCATTTCCCAAGTGCAAATTCACAATGAAAGACAATGCCACCCAATTGCGAAAGAAATGAAAGCACTTGCAAAGAGATAAAGACCGGAGGGAAGAGAAAGAAGAAGAAGAAGAAGAAGAAGAAGAAGAAGAAGAAGTACACCAGCGAGACCAATGACAATTTCCCCCTTCTCTCTCCACCTTCCTCCTCCTCCTTCAATCCGCCAATCTTATTCTTCTCTCAATAATAATAATAACAATGAACGGATGAACCGGAATCAATATCCGAAGTTCCCTCTTACTGCTGACTCAACTCACAACAACAACAACAACAACAAGTCCACCATGGCTATGGCTTCCCTCCTTCAACCTCCTCTCTCATGCATAGGCCATGGCGGACTACTAGGAGGCAGCTATGGTGCTGCGCTGATGTCCAGGGACCACACACGCAGCTATGGTGCTGCGCTGATGTCCAAAAGACAACCCAAAGCAGCTATGCCGCTGCTGACTTGGTCCGCTATGCCTGACTCTGCCTCGAGCTGCCCTGGTGCAGCGCTACCCCAACTGGGGCCTTCCAGATGCAGCGCCCAACAAGGTGATGAAGATGGTGTCCACCATAGCCAGGTAAGTGCCCTGCCACTCTCCTACCATACCCCCTTCTTCCTCCTCCTCAAGCTGGGTTGCTCGCCATAGCCAGGCTGAGCTCCCAGCGGCCCTTCTCCCTTCAGGCAGCGCTGTACCTCCAGCGCTGCTCTCCAGCAGCATGTCGCCAATCCTTGCACACCGCAAATGAGGAAGAGCTCTCCGCTCTTCCTGAAGATATAGCGGCCTACCGGCCTCCTGGGCGGTGACTTCCTAGGCCGAGTGGCCTCCCAGCAACCGGTACCTCCTCCCTTTCGGAGGGAAACATCATTGCAGGCTCTGTTATCGTCCGCACAGGCCCTAGACCCGGGCTCCTTGGACTGGTACCGGCCTACCTCTAACCTACCGCTACTGGGCCTCTAAAAATGCCAAGTTTTTGTCTTCTTCTGCTCGGCCTCCAGTACCCGACACTTGTACCACTACTTCAGTGGTACCGGCCTACCTGCTACTTGAGTGTTTTTCCCCTCTGCTGTAAGTGCCACGGGCCTACCCCCGCTACTCGAGTGTTTTCCCCCTGCAACCCTTCACGGTCACGGCCACAGGTAAGTACCGGCCCTGCGGGGCCTTGCAACCAACAAGTACCCTTGCGGGTCACACACACGCTCAACCGCCAAGCACTCAGACAGGCATGCAAACCAGCAGGCACGCACACATACACAGACATGGAAATCACAGCAGAATGCGGGAATTTCAACAAGGCATTCATTCCAGCGGCAAATCCCAGAAATCAGCAGTGTTCTCAGTCTGTGTTTTTGGCGGGTCATTACAATTATCAGATTGGATTGATAGTAATAAAGTCCGTCTGTCTTTGTCTGTGTGCTGCTGTCTGCAGGTGCTTTCTTTTGACACCAAAGTTGCTACCCAATTTGGAATATTCGCGAGCCTGCACCATCTTGCAGGTCATGAATGGTCCTTGGATTTCTAGCGCATCTGATTGTAAGTTCGCTTCTCGTTCCTCCTCGCTAGCCGATCTGATTCTCTATCTCTTGGCTGCAACTGGCATTGGAACCTTGCTCTCTACCCGCTCCATTGCCGCCCGTCTTGAATCTCAATTTGTTGTCCAACCCATCTTTCCACATGTCACCTGACCTCATTTTTTTTTGGCCACCTTCTGCTTATTGAACCAACCACCAGTGGCCTTTCAAAACTTCTCGGCCTTTCAAAACCTCCTCGCCAGTTAAGTAAGGCTAATGAGGTGCGTGCAGAGAGGCTTGGAGTGCTCATCGGGAAAAAAAAAGGCTGTGGTGTCGGGCAAATTGCACTGCACGCGGCAGGTGGATTTGCTTATGGCCTGGCAAAAGACCAACCACTTCGGGAAAATGAGGCTTTCTGACCCCCGGGGGGGATGGTTTCTGAATTGTTTCTGTGTAAGCCTGTTGTAGCTTGCCAGGCGTTCATGTTCCGAATTGTTTCTGTTCACGTTCTGCAGGGGAAATTGTCTCTCCTGTTGTGTTTTCCTCGCGTTCTTTTTTTTTGGCAAAATGACGTGTGGAGTCTCTGGACTGGATTCATTCCTTCTGCCGAGATTCCATCCGTATTGTGGAAAATGTGGGTATCTCTGAACGTGAATGTGGTCACTGGTCAAAAGCTCGAGAGTGAAAATCTTCTCTTTGTTTTTGTTTTTTTTGTTGCTCTGTTTTTTTGGAGTGGTCCTTAGCTCAGATGACGCATTTGGAAAAGTGGAAAGCAAACCAAAAAGAGTTTTCATTCATAGAGTGGAATCATCCTGCAGCCGAAAACTCAGCGCAATCCAAAAGATCTAATCTTTCCAGCTAGCAAAGTAAATGGTGTATCTGCCTCTGAATGATTCTTTCCGTATGCCCACTTCTGTTTGCGTGTTTTCGTTGTGTGTGTGTGTGTGTGTGTGCATGTGTGTGTGTGTCTGTGAGAGGGGGAGAGAGTATTGTGATCGTATTTTGCATCACTGCAGTGGAGATCGAATCTGGTGGTCTCACCTGTGCTCGAGGTGTAGGCATTATCATCGTGAATTCAGGTCGTTACAGATTGACATTCCCGTCTTAATAGATTGCCGCCGGAACACTGGTTAGCAGTTTGCATCACACGGACTGTGATTGCTGTCAATGTTCAGCGCTCATTCTTCGAGAGCCATGGCAATAAATGCGCGTGATGGCTGCACATGAATGCCGCCCGCCGTTCCGTTACTCCTGTAGAGTCGTCACGAATAGAATCCCACTGTCCTCGTGCATTTTTTACTTTCTTTTATGGCCTGCGGGTCCTCGTGCAGATTCTGATTCTGACATCGTAATGATCATATACCTACACTATTAAAATCGCTAACGTGACAAATCTCAAATCTGGGCCGTCGTCGGTCCTACCGGCCCACGGCCCAGATCGACCGAACCATGTAACAAATCTGTCATCTCGGCTGTCGGGTCCCACCAGACCGACGGCCTGGATAGATGCGGTCATGCCTGGATCTTAAGGTCGTGCATCAATCCAGGCCGTTGGCCCGGTACCTTGGGCCCGACGGCCCGCAGTATTTGCCTGTTGGAGATGGCCGCGGTACCTATCGGTGGTTTCTTGGCGCGGTACCTACCGGTGGGGTTTTGTCTTCGGGCAAGCGGGTTCCAATAGGCTGCCCGTGATGTAAATACTTTTTCGTGGCAGCCTGTACTGTTTTTGGGTGGGGGCGTGCCTTTTTGGTGGCGGCATGGGCAAATTCTACGGCGTGGGAAAGACCCACCCTTATGCTACTCTACTCTGTATCTTTCCTATCCTATGCTACTACTCTACACTACACTACCATGCTCGACTTCGACTTGCCATGTGGATACACACACACACACGACATCCGGGCAGAATGTCGGGGTTCAACCTCCTGATCGGTGTTCAACCTCCTGATGAGTCCATGGAAGTCCGACGAAACAGCCTTGCTTAGTCATGCCCACGCACGCAGTCACAAGAGAGAGAGAGAGAGAGAGAGAGAGAGAGAGAGAGAGAGAGAGAGAGAGAGAGAGAGAAAGAGAGAGAGAGAGAGAACTCTACAACGCTAGGCTTTGCTACTCTCCCGTACAATGTTATGATGACACGCACACTCCCCGGCTATGATGACCCGCCCCCTCCAATCAAACTAACTACCCCCAGGAGAGATCAGGTCTGAAAACAACTTCTACTGCTAACACTATGCAAGAGAGAGAGAGAGAGAGAGAGAGAGAGAGAGAGAGAGAG